AACATGTAGCATAATATCATCCGTGATAGAAGAACATTTTCGCATCTCCAGCCAACGTCCTATGTCCTCTCCGTATAATAGAGAGGATTTCGCCTTCTAAACTACCTTCAAATGACCTCCCTGTTCAAACAGGCAAATAAAAATGAAACCACCAGGAAAGAAAGTCATTAAGCACAGCAGAAAATTTAATTTTATTCTAGTTTCCCCAGGATTATATTCTTAGTGAAATATGGATGCTATAATTATTGAAAAGATTTGGAACAAGAGTGTAATTGTAACTTTTTGCTCCAAAAGAAAAAAAAAATTAAAATAGAGTTTTGCGTTTACAGCATTCATGAACTATGATGTTTTAAACAACTTCAGAGCGCTTTCAAAGTTGCATCTACCGCGTTGTGCAACTTTCATAGTGCAACCTGATTCATTTTTTAATTAAGTAGACGTGTAGTTACGATATTTTTTTTCCTGCCGACAAAAATTAGTATCAGTGTTATATTCCATACCGTTAATTTTTTTACCGTTTGACGGCATATGTTTCTCCACTGCACTGGAACAGAAAATGATGAGTGTTTTAAAATGGAACAGTAACAATAACAAAAAAAAGAACTACACATATTTTTTGTCTTTATTCCTTCAGAGATTATAGTTTAGTTTTTTTACCGGACTCTTAGTAACTTTGAGAATGCAGCGGTATTGTGCTATTATGAATCTAATTTTTATGCTGAAATGTTCTGTTCTTCTCGCTTGTTTTGTGCGATGTTAAAAAACTTTAATAACAAGTTTACCAAGTTTCTTAAAGCTAACTTAGAGACATTCAACAGTTACCGCTCTGCTTTTGTTAGTGGCCAGCACGATCAAGAAATAAGGGCAGGAGCTAGTTAAAACAAAGATCTGCAGTTAAGAACGTTCCTTGATAAAAAGCAGTCGCTTAACCGCTGAACTGTCTTTTGAAAATTCAAAGCTTCACATATCATAGCGGGTTTCTAAAGTACGAAGACTGGTAGAACCTGATTGACTATTTGAAAGCAGAGTGTCAATGCAGGCTGATTATAAATGATGTGAATAAAGTTTACAACGTAAATGTTTAAGTCCGCACTCTATTTTTTTTACTTTGTTACCATGCCTTTCTTTCTGTTTCCTCAACCCTCTGCCTCATTCCTCTACCGCAGTGTTTTCCAAATAAATTTTCATTTCCTCGTTAAGGGCTTCAAACCATACTGCTCTCTCCCATTATCTTAAAAATGGGAAACCAGCAAAATTAACTTCCCCCGAGATTATTAATCCTTTAATATACATATAACTCTTTATCCTTGCTCCCGACTCTATAAGCATCTTCAGTATAAAAAAGCCGCGGTTGTTGTTGGTTGTCAGTTAATTTTTTTTGGCAAAGAAAGGTTCGGATTAGAAAATCACATTTTTTCTTTTTTTTTTTGGCTTCTGCTTTCCTCTTATTTTTTTAGCTTGCAAATGTAGTAAGAACTACTTTTAAAATCCCGATGAGCCGGGCTGATATCTTCGCCATTCTTTCTTTTTTTATTTTCATTTTTTGTGTCTATTTTTATTTTATATTTATTTTCATTTCTATTTTTATCTTTATTTTTATTTTCACAGCCCAAATCGTTCTCAATTCCCTTAAAATACTTTTTTTTCTTCTCAGTCGTATCCTAGAAAAAAAAAAAAGAAAACCATCTAAAAAATATACGCAGCCAGCTTTTCATTCCTTTTATTTTATTCACTTTTCCCTCAGAGTTAAATTATGATTATAGCTTTTTGTTTTAGTGTAACTTCTGCTGATCTGATTTACAGATATTTCCTCGTTTTGATGAAGTAGTGAATAATGAGAGAAGAACAAAGAAAAAAACTGTGCAAGTAGACGGTATAAAAAAATATGATGTGGATACGTTTTTTAAGGTATAACACAACACCCATAATATAAAAAAATGAGAAGAAAAATAGAAAAAAAAAGAAAGTTTGAGAAGCACGGTATATATTTTCTTAACACCGTTTTTTTCATTAACATTACAACTGCATTAAGTGGTCTAAAAGCGAGTAGTGATACTAGTGAATATTGGTAACTTTGATAAAATGGATAACTGGGTGATACATTGGCAGCTCACATGTATCATCATAGAGTCAATGTTTAAATTTGAGGAGGTGTTGAGAAGAAGCGAAGAAGAGTCTAAAGGAATTTGTAGAAATGAAATGTTGCAAAAGAAACTGAATACGAAAAATGTTCAATTACGACGGATAAAGCAAAAAAAATTTATCGTCATCGTATAATAACAAATAGCAAAACGATCTTTGCCTTCTGTTCGTTCCCAATTCCCAGTTGTTTCTTAATGAAAAAAATTTTGCAACTGGATAACAATTAGGGTAACAACACTTTTTGTAATGAATAAATATAAGTACATACCGTTTTACAAGACTCAAGTAAAAAATTTGATTTTTTCATACCCTAACTGCTGTTTATTGTCGTTGTTGCTGTTACCAGTGGAAATATTTTCTGAGATACGCTTCAGAAACGATTAATAAAATTTGGACTACAAACGGTAGGGAGAAAACGTAAAAGAGCGTAAAGGGTGAGAAATTAAAACAAAACATCATCATCTCTGTGGCTGGCGACAATAAATTCTGCCAACAGCAATTCTCATTTTCAATTTTTTGCAACTATCAAAGCTGAACTAAGGGGTAGAGACGGGGAGTTGAAACAGTGACTATTTATTTATATATCCCATCTGTATCTGTTCAGCAGTTCAATGCGTAATCCTTCATAGTCAAACAGGACAATGAAAACAATACTGCATAGGGCACTCAAAATTGTTGTATCAATATAAAAATAAAAAAAAATTCAAAGAAAAAGGCAAAAAGCAAATTAAGGCAAAAAAAACTTAACTAGTAAAATTGATTCAACATTTTCCAAAAAAATAAAATGCGAATAATACCATAAACTATGGCTGTTTTGGGTATAGAATTTTACGGAATAGCTAAACATTTGGCTGGAAAACATTGAAATGCGTAAACTATTGTGATGCAATTCAGTTATTTAGTGTGGCGGATGAGTTTTTTGATCATCACTGTTCTTCAAGTATTCTATAAAATATTTCCATATTGGTTTTTTTTTTTTCTGTTGCTGTTACTGCTGGTGCTATTGATAATGATGATGATGGTGACGACGACGACAGTGGTGCTGATGATGTTGCTACTGCTAATGCAGTTGCTGCTGATGTTACTGATGCTAATGCTGTTGCTGCTGCTGTAGTACTTAATCTTTTCATCATTTGGGATGGATGAGTGTAAGTACAGTTGAAAATGAAGAAGCGATTGACAGAAAATAGAGCAGATAGGGCCAAGCAGTAGCACTAGGAAAGAGGGGCAGGAGAGGAAAGATGACGACGATGAAAAAGTACGGCAAACTAGCGGCTCAAGCAAAACCAAATAAACAGTGAATGATAGCAGCAGCTTATTTAGCAGATAAAACAAGCCAGGATTCAGAATTTTTCAAGATGTGCAATATTTCGTTTTTTTTTTTCTGCTTTAGTTCAGCATAAAAGACCAAAAGACGGATGTCAACAAACTTGCAAAAAAAATTTTTTCCCTTTTTTTTTTTTTTTTTTGATCTAAAATTACTGCAGTTATGCAAAATAAGTGAAAGGAAAAAAAAGAATGAAATAATAAAAAAGGCAAAGAGAAGTAGCAGAAGAAAACATTTGAACAAAAAAGTATTTATAACAATAAGAGTATTTCCTTTCTTTGCTTATTTTTTTAGATTTTTATCATCATCAAATACTATCATCATTACCACCAAAAAAACGAACAAGTAGACTTAGGTTGAATCTTCTTCGACAATGAAGTACACATGTAAAGATACACACAAACTGTATATGTAAACGTATTCAAACGAATACCAAATATTGTGAGAAGAGCACATCTCAAATATATCTAATGAACGACAACCAGAACCAATTCAGTTCGTTCATTTGTCCTCATTCAGCAGCACTTAATCCCTACCTACCCTACAATCTCTACTTGTCCTTCCACCCATTCTTTCACCTCCCCTTGCCATCTCCCCTTTTCATTCATCAACAAACTACAATAACATTAGCATTTGAAGAAAAATGCATTTTCTCTTTTTTTTTTTTTTTTTTTTTTTTTTTTTTT